GACATGCTGGTAGGTTAATTGGATCCTGTCTAAAATTGGCCCTTGTATATGAATGTGAATTAGGGACCTTAGATTGTACACCCCTTGAGGGTTAGGGACTTATGTGAATGTACAATATATATGTAAAGTGCTGTGTAAATTAACAGTGCTATATAAGTACCTGAAATAAATAAATAAAATATAAACATTATGGTAGTAATAGAGTTGTTCCCGCAACAATAGAGAATTAACATATTTCACCCACTGTTCTCTAGGCAGAGAGACTGGTGACATCCAGTGTCTAGCAAGATATAAGAGTCTCAAAAGCATAATATAAACCCCTGGTTTGTATAGTTCTGCATCTAATGCACCTAGGAGGCACACCAATGAATCTAGGGTACATTTTTATGAGCAACTAATGAAACTGTTTGCACAACCTTTGTCCAATATGTAGGCAGCTTCGGGCAGTGCCAAAGCATGTGGATAAAATCTCCCCTATGGACGGTACATTTGGGGCATATGGGTGTAGCACCCTCTAGTGTGCTCGTAGAATAGTGTAGGTAAATCTATTGCGTATGACTCATGATAACTGTGTGAGTCTGTAAATCGAGTCGAGTTACTGCAGGTCAGGCTGGATGGCTTAAGAGGTTGGGACTCTATCACCTCTACCTGGTTCTAGAGAACCATGTAACTTTCCAGAAGCCAGTGGACGGATAGGGTGGAGACATAATCTTCATGTTTATGGGAATTTAACTAATCCCAGGTTTGGAGGTCCATATAGAGTGGTGTGAAAACCCATAAATATGGGAGAGTCAGGCTGGCATGGGAGTCGGGTGGAAGATGGACTGCAGAGGAGACTATCTGTGGCCTGGTAGGGGTCCCCTAGGTCTAGGGGGGCTGACCTTCAGGCCAGCTCAGGCTGGCTCAGGAGCATCCATTCATCATCATGGTATGAACAGGATCAAGGCCTGGGAGAAGTGGGACAATCAGAAATAGCAAGGAGGACAAAGTGAGTACATCAGCACTCCCTGGGATTCACAAGGGGAGAGACTGTCACATGTAGCAAGCTCTCAAAGGACAGCACTGTGCTTAATCCTTTATCCTTGTCCAGGGAGTTCTTCAGAGCAGCCAGGAGTGCTGGTAGTGTCTGTAGACTCTGGAGCTGGAAGCAGTTCTACATAGGAGAGGGGGCATCTCTGCATGTAGTTTGCTACAGCTAAGCTGACTTTCAGAGGGGCTGCAAGTCCCTAGCCCATAAGTTTCAGTTCCTACTGATCTGTAATTACTGACCACTTTCAAGGAAAAGAGCAGTCCGAGATCTGTTTCTATAAATAGGAAGAAAGTTGTTCCCGTGGATTGATTCAGTGAAGCTGGGCATCCCATAATCCATATTGCCCTAGCTAAGTTACATCCCCTAATAAAGTAACAAAAACCAAGCTCATGGACAGTTCACTGACTGTGGATGCAAGTGTGTAAAATGCATGTTGCATGGCTGTGCAAAGCTTAGAGGAATCCTGAAGCACAGTGCCCTCAAGAGGGTAGCACCACATAGGCATGTCCCTCTTACCCCACCAAAATACATTATTGTGAGTTCTATAAACCTGATAAAGAATAAATAACTGAGTAAGCTTAGTCTGTTTTTCTGATATTTTGGGGTTTAAGCTCTATCCAGGGGTGAAAACTATGTAGGGCAAAGATATTGATTGGCTGCTAATGCATAGACAGCCAATAAGTGCCCATGCCTCACAAAAATCCTGACTGCAGCTTAGTGTCTAGACAAGTGTTTCTTAACCAGTGCTATGGGTTCCCCCAGGTTGCTGCAAGCATGAGACCTAGTTTGTCCTGGATCACAGATGGGTGAGAGGACACTGTGATGGGAGACTCTGATGTGATGGGAAGACTCTGTCATGGGTGTACTCTGATGTGGAGGGGGGGTCCCTGATGTGAAGGGAGACCTCTGATGTAATGGGGGCTTCTGACATAAAAGGGAAACTCTAAAGTGAAGGGGTGTATTCTGATGTGATGGGGGACCTCTAATGTGAAGGGAGGCTTCTGATGTGGGGTTAATTTAATCAAGGTGTTTGTGTGCATCCTCCCTGGCTCAGGTTTCCCATTGATAAGTAACATTTACGACTGAAGGTCAAGAAAGACTGGTCTAGACCACAAGCTACAACCCTTCCTGATACTTTTTAGACCTTGGGAGGTGCTTCTGACCCCTAGAACACGTTATACAATGCCGGTCTAAATTGGGCTTACTGAGCTAAAAGCACGCAATGTTGTATTCGCCTTTGTAGTCAAAGTTTTGTGAATAAGACCTAATTCTGTACATATTACTTGTAGAAACCAGTAGACAAGTGCATGGAGAGTAGTGAAAATTCTGTACATAAATGTGTATATTTGTATCTCTTTTTACAGCTGATCTCTGTATACAGGGCATATACAGTTCACTAAGGCAGCGGCCAGATAATACGTATTCCGGAGCCCTTTCTAGTTTGCTTCTCCAGGATCAGCTACCTTTGGAGGACATTAAAGCCAGCATTACAGAGCTGATGGCTGGAGGTGTGGATACAGTAAGTGGTAGAATGCTTGTCATGAAAAAAAAAAGTTCACTCAATTGTTGTAAATCATAAATCTGTTTTACATATGATAACACACAGAAATACACGGCAGTGCATTAACATGTGTCGCCTTGCTCGGCAATCAGGTTGAGGTGCATTGGGGTACAACAATTAATCATATTGCACCAAGGTGCATAAGGTGCATTGTCACAATCAGTACCATCCTTGGATTTGACTTTCTGTGAAACATCGAGGAAAACCGGACAATCATTCGCCAGATTTCCTTATAGTCTGTACCCAGCTAATTTTTCATTTGGAAAGTCTGAATCGGATCCTGAAAGTTGTGTACACACTATACAAAAATTAAACGTTCCTTGTCCAGAATTTTTCTTCCGATTTTCTCTGTCTGTACCCGACTTTAGCCTTAAGCCGTCCATACATGGATCAAATCTTGGCCAGCTCAGCAGGGACCGCCAGATATTCAATCCATCTATGGGCAGGCTGAATGTAATGATCATTGTGTCCTGCTGGCACGGAAGGCTCATCGCTGGCAGAACATAATAGTGCTGCAGAAGGAATTCCCCCATCAACACTGACTATTGATGGGGCAATCAAGCATTTACTGCAACTGTGGTTGCAGGAAATAAAATTGCATCATCTATGGCCTGCTTTAGGCTGGATTAACACCTCTGTGTTTTTGCTGGATAGGTTTACTGCTGAAATCAATGAAAACACATCAATCAAATTGTATATCAACAAATTACAACAGGGAACGCTAAATGCAAAATGCACGTCAACATGTTTTTAAAATGCTCAACAGTGCAGGATAAACTTGTTCCACGTATTTTGATGCATTTCCAAGGATTGTAAATGAAAAACGCATCAGAGGAAAATGCATTTGTGAGCATAGGGTAGTTAAAGGTGTAAAAACAGCTGACATAGCTAATTGAAGTTGTTGTAATTTGTACTGCCTGGCGAACGTGATGGAGGCAGGGGCGGACTGACCATTTGGAAACTCGGGCACTGCCCGAGGGCCCGGGGTCAGTAGGGGGCCCCATGAGATGCCCCTGGTAACTTTTTCATAGGCTTTTTTGAGTTTGGGCAAGGACACAGGGGCCCCATGATCCCCTATTGCCCCAGGGCCCCATGAGTTGTCAGTCCGCCCCGGGATGGAGGTATATTATTTTCCATGGCATGCGACAACCTGTTGGTTGCCAATGTGAACAAGCCCATGCTGGGCAATTTCTAATCTTTCTTCTTTTTCATTGGTAATGGTTTATCAAAGGAGCTACACAATTGCATTCCTAGTGTGCAGAGTATATTAGAAAAACAGGCTTTTGCCTTGCACATGACAGGAAGATAGTACAAATATAGCGTCTCCTTACTCACTAAGCTAAGTAAATATTCTTTCTCCTTTTGTGAATGAGCCCCATTATGTCAGTTTAGATTATCAGCATACAGTATTAGCTGCAATTCTTTGCCAGCAGCTATCGGCTGTGATTGTTCCGGTGCAGAATAAAGCATTAGCATTAGATAAAATAAAAATCATATACTGCTAATTAAGCTTTTATCTACTGAGCGCAAATTAGATAACAAAAGCAGCTGTCTGGGTTTTCTTTGCCATGGTATACTGCAGAATTGCCCAGCTGATAGAGGCTCTGTAGGCTGACTTACCTTGGAAACCATTCAGACAGTGAGTTGTTATAACAACATTGCAAACCTTGTGATGCAATTAATGGTAAAACTGATATTTAAACATCAGACTTCCATGGGCACAATTGAATGATGACCACTCTTTGTACATCTCACCCCTTTTTTATTTTAGTACAAATTACTGCTAGAATGTTTTCTTGCAGGCAGTCTACTTAATATGTAGAACTTCCTCTTAACAAAGCAGCAAACAAAAGAAAGGAGAGAAGATTTCTTGTTTCCTAAGGCAAAGTTTCTCAACTTTTTTTCAGTCAATGCAACCTTTAAAATTCTGGAAAGTCCTGAGGTACCCTTTAACCACTTGCCCTCCTGAGGATTTACTCCCCTTCCTGACCAGGCCATTTTTTGCGATACGGCGCTGCATTAATTTAATTAACAATTGCACGATCATGCAACACTGCATCCAAATGAAATTTACATTCTTTTTTCCCCACAAATAGAGCTTTCTTTCAGTGGTATTTGATCACCTGTGTGGTTTTTATTTTTTGCGCAATAAACAAAAAAAGACCAACAATTTTGAGAAAAAAAACTATATTTTTGACTTTTTGCTATTAAACATGTCCAGTAAAAAAATTTTAAAAATCTAATTTTGTCATAAATTTAAGCCAAAATGTATTCTGCTACATCCTTGGTAAAAAAAAAAAAACCAATACGTGTAAATTAATTGGTTTACGTGAAAGTTATAGCATTTACAAATGGCGGTGAAGATACCGGAATTTTTTTTTTTTACTAGTAATGGCGACAATTAGTGACTTTTAGCGGGACTGCGGTGGGCATTCTGACACTGTGGGGAACTGATTTGGTGTCACTGACATCCCTAGTAACCCCAATACAGTGATCAGTGCTAATAAAAAGCACTGATACTGTACTAATGGCACTGGACAGGAAGGGGTTAACATGTGGGGGCGATCAAAGGGTTAACTGTGTTCTGTGTGCTGTTTTACTACGTGGGCTGTGTCTATGTTTCACTGTAAGCACATTGCTTTGTATGGCTCTGCTGTGCAGTTTGCAGCAGCTAACAGGGGGGAGATGTGTATTGTTTACATACAAGTCTCTCCCTCGTCGGAGATACTCGGTGATCACTGGGTGCCGGTGAGTAATCACCGGCCAGGACCCAGTGATTGACAGCCGAGGCCGCGAATTCCCCCTAACCGGAAATGCAAAATCACATATATATATATATATATATATATATATATATATATATACGTGATTTTGTGCACCCCTGCCTCCCTGTAGCAATATTTCTTCTATACGGTGGAGGGGAAACGGTTAAAATTATGAACAGTCTTAAGGCACCCCATTCCAAAATGGGGTGCCTCAAGACTGTCCATAATTTTAAAAGGGCACTCCATTCTAAAATGTGAAAAAACTATTCTAATAGTTTTATATATCGCAACATCCACACATGTAGGTGATTTATTCTTTCAAAGCAAATACACTTTTGTACAGTGGTATTGACTAGTATTCCAATGTTTCTCTTCTCCCTCAGTTTTTCTCCATCACTGAGCTAATGTGACCCCATTACTGACGGAGAGGTGCAAGGGAGGATCAAACTAGGATGCTGTGCAGGCAGCTGACACCTAGGCACAGGCTTATGAGTGCCACTATTGTATATACTTTACATGTAGCACCCTCCTAGAATAGGTTGCTAGAGAGGTTCAGGTAAATATAGTTCTTTAGCTCCTCTGTAAACATTGGAGCAGTGTGTGATTATTTTTGGCTGTTATAGGTCTCATTGGCTACAGGCTCAAAAGCTTCCCTCTTCTAGTAGATTCTAGAATGTGGTGGGTTGAAAGAGGCAGACCCTGTGTTTGAATATTCATGTGGTCTCAGCCAATCCTTGGGGGGAGAAGATACCTAGAAGGTGGCTAAGGAGTGCATAAGTAGTCTGGGGCCTGAACCAGTGGGGTTCTTGTTCTGGAGGAGACCCCAGCCTCAAGGGCTGCTACCCTTCTGGTTAGAGTAGCTGAAGACTGCAGGAGTTCATCAAAATTCCAGCTCAGCTGGAATCCTTAGTGAAAGCTGGTTCACTAAGGATATGGCCTGGGAGTTTACAGGAAAAGTTTCTGGCCAATATTGGATGGAGGCATTGAAGTATATGGGGACATTGTGAGTATAGGCCTGAGTGTGGGATCCTAGTGACTGTTTACTGCTGTAACCCTTTGAGCATCTGCACCAGTGTTGCTGAATAAGGACCTTTCCTTTTGTTTGAAGTCACAGAGTTGCTGCTTCTCCTATTGTCCGCTAAGAGGGGAATTGCCCTGAAGAGTGTAGACAAGGCAAAGTGTCAAAGTGTGCTTTCTTAGTGAACTGAATGTGGAGTATTCTAAAGCCCACCCTGCACCCCATCCAAGCTGAATGAGCATTAAATCCTAAAAAGATATTACCTGCCTGGTTGTTGAGTTGTGAAACTGAGTGGCTGTGTATCTGGCTGTTTGTACACCCCGAACGGAAGAAAATCTGGAGCAAATCAGTGGGGCCTGTTTTTCGGTCTGCACTATATACAGCTCTGGGTACTGATGTACTAACTGCAATGTTACCAATTAGTCTGCAATGACTTCTTCCTGTTCAACCACTTTGCATAACCTATCTCCTTCCCCTTCCTTTCACACAATTAGAGATTTGTTTGCCTTTTGGGTGAATACAATTTTTAATGCAAGCTGCCCTGCAATTCCAGCAGAGACGTAGCTCGAAGCTTGTCGGCCCCGATGCAAAATTTGATCTGCGGCCCCCACTACCTTCCTCTGTGTGCAGCGTCAAGATGCTCCCACCGTGTGCCAAGATATGATAGCTGTATGGCGGCTGTCTCTGTTCTCTCTCTCCTGCGGCTGTCTACACATGCACTCAAAGTGGGGGCAGGCAGGCCACACTCTGAGCTGTCCGGTGAAAACAGTAGGTTTGTATGTAAAAGAGGAAACTCAGCAGGCCCTCTGACCTCCAGATCCACATATAAGCCCACTGCTTTCACCCAGCAGCTCACAGTGTGGCCTGCCTGTCTGCCCCCACTGCAAATATCACACTTTTTTATTTTAAACACCTTTCTTTTATACGTTATAAAACAGCACCCAGTTACCTCTCTCATGGCCAGGCTGCAGTGATATGGAGGTGCAGGATATTTGGAAAAATAATACCCCCCTTCCCGGTAACAACACATGCCCTCCTGCCTCCTCTTGGTATTGACAGATGACCCCTCCTTCAAGAGCCCCATACTTCAGCTAATCAAAGTTGACCCCTACTCCTGTAAGGAAAGATGACTTCCTCGCCTGGTAATGACACATGTCCCCCACCAGGTAATGACAGATGACCCCCTCCCCCCACAAAGTAATGACAGATGACCCCCCCACACCAGGTAATGACATATTACCCCCCCCCCCCACCAGGTAATGACAGATACCCCCCATCAGGTAATGACAGATGACACCCTTCCCCACCAGGTAATGAAAGATACCCCCCCACCAGGTAATGACAGATGACACCCTTTCCCACCAGGTAATGACAGATGACACCCACCTAGAGGTGCCCTCCTCCTAGTAACAACACATAGCCCCCCTTCTTCCTCCTCTTGGTATTGACAGATGACCCTACCTTCAAGAGCCCCCCACTTTAGCTAATCATAGATGATCCCCTACTCCTGTAAAGAAAGATGACTTCCTCACCTGGTAATGACACATGTCCTCATATCAGGTAATGACAGATGACCCGCTCCCTCACCACTTAATGACAGATGACTCTCCCCCCCACCAGATAATGACAGATGACCCCCCAGGCAATGACAGATGACCCTCCCCCTACCAGGTAATGACAGATGACCTTCCCCCCCACCAGATAATAACATAACAGATCCCCCCCACCAGGTAATGACAGAGAAACACCCTCCCCCACCAAGTAATGACAGATACCCCCCCCCAGGTAATGACAGATGACACCCTTCCCCACAAGGTAATGACAGATGGCCCCCACCTTCAGGTGCCCTCTTCCTGGTAATGACACATGCCCCCCCAAGGGAATTACTGATTCCCCCCCCACCATCCTGGTAATGTCACATTAGCACCCCCCATGCTGACAATGACAGATTCCCCATCCAGCTCCCCCTCTGCTCATCCTGCTCAAACTGTCACAGTACAATCTGCAGCCTCTGGAGCCCGCAGTACCTCGTAGGCCCCTCTGGTGGTGTTATGGTATTTTGTGAGAATTTATGTGTGTGTCAGCAGCAGTTTTGGGGAGAGGTGGGGTGGGCTGTGTCTGTTCTCTGCAGGGATCCGACTGGTATCTTTTTACCTCCCCAATGATAGCAGTACCCATTCCTGGACAGTGCTGTCCTCCTACTCCCTCGCTCAGCCCCATGACAGCTTTGCTCCAGATTCCATTTTGCCTCTTCATAATGACAGGGAGATGGCATGGGCCCCCCTGGAACATGACCCCTGAGACCCCACATGAAAAAGACAGCAAGCTCCCAAAACCGAAGGTGTCAATGAAGGACCCGGCATGCAGCAAATTACAGCAGGGCAACGCTGAACTTGCTAGATGTATGAGCATGTGTTTTGAGGGTGACCCAGCAAACAAATTAAGACTTTAAAAATGACAGAGATAAAATTGTTCTCTAAATAAATCAATACAAAATGAATGGGCAGTCATGTGTATCACAAATGACACTTTTTAAGTTCTTAAATTGCAAGCATAACTGCATGTGGATTTCCTACTTTATAGACATTTTACAATTTGAAATATCAGTTTTTAAACAAAAAAAAATGTTTCTTTCAATATAATGGCATTTAGCCAATACATCGTTCCTTAGTTACTATGGAAGCAGGCTGGAGAACAGAATGCCAAGAAATGTAAAAAATAAATGTATTTTTCTGTATTATTAGTGCTCATGCTGCTTTTCAGTAGGCAAAGCTGCATAATAAGGAAGCATAGTCTGAGATGTGTACAAAAATGAAAATGGAATTTCATGCCAATATATCCCACATGGCTTTTGTTGTTCAAGGAAATAAGTTCAAATGAGTTGATTCACCCAGTACATGGCAACATAACCGAGTAGAGATTGTAGGTTTCTGGAAGCTGTGGAGCTAAATGACGCTGTTGTTTATCTACCTTATGTAAAAGGTGCATTTAAAAAAATGGAGCAAAGGTGACAAATGCTGTTGGGGCTCCAAGATATCAGTTAGCCATACTTTTCTGACAGCACTGGAAAATGCCAGATGGAATCTTATTTTGTTGAAATTTAGTCTTGTTTAAGTGAATGACCATTTTTCTTTGGTCAGTACTCTGATTGTTATTTGTTACATTTTGAGGTTTAACAGAAGCATACATCATAAAGGAATGGGTTATGTGATGTCTCTTCAGGTGCTTATAAGGCCTGATTCATTAAAACTGGAAAAAAGAAAATAAGCACATTCTAGGAGTTGCTAGTATCATCCAATCACTTTCATCTTATGAAACGTTTTAAAGAAAATATTGATTATCCATCACAGTGGTCTCCAATTGCATCCTTGTTCTCTTTTAACAAGTTTTATTGAATCAGTCATTTGTCCTAAATGCATTTGGCATTCAAGCCAGCAGTAGAATTACACCAATAAAAAGACACTAGAGTTAGATAAATAAAAAATAACATGAATTGAAATATATACATCCCTGGTGCCCATCCTGTAGCATAAAGTGGAACTATACAGCATCAGCAAACCAAAAACACTTTTAGTTCATTTTTAATATTCAAAGCAAACTCACCCATCCATACATGTCTCCATGTTTTATTTTGCTGGGAAATCAGTTTGAAAAACACACCTCCTAACATTGCCCGCCGTGGCCATCTTGAGTAAGGGCAGATGATTCATGTGGCATTTACTTCCTGGAATCTCTCAGCCCTTATTAGCTCAGGCATGCAGGCGGGAGTGCTTAGCTGAGAAAACCTCTCCCACCCTCCTGAAGACTAATGGGATGTATGACATCATTTGCATAGGCCTGAAAATCATGAAGTAACTGAAGAAATGTAAAAAAAGTTAAAAAAAATATGATATACTTTCCTATCTATTTATCAATACTTACAGCATAAGGATTAAAAATAGTCATTGTTGACTGAAAGAGTGTTCTGTTTTTAAGAGCCATATGTAGCCCTTTGTAATTTATTGTGAAGCCCTCGGGTCCCAGCATGCAGTGGTCAATATA